ACCACGCCCACCCCATCTCATTTAAATCCAAAATCCGCCACTTTAACCCAAATTCTCCCTCATAAACCCCACCCCAAACCCTGACCACGCCCACAGGACCACACCCAAACCCCGACCACGCCCACCCCACCTCATTTTAACCCCAAATCCGCCACTTTAACCCAAATTCTCCCTCATAAACTCCACCCCAAATGGAGTCCACGCCCCCCCAGGGACCACACCCTCGGTGACCACGCCCACCTCCAGGTAGGGCACGCCCTGGTCGAAGCTCTGGGGGTAATCGCGGAGCGGCCGCTCCTCGTCCAGGAACTTGGCGTCGCGGCCGGCGGCCGCGGGCTGGAAGAGGCCGTAGTTGAGGCCGTCGTGGAGGCCCTCGGTCAGCGCGCACAGCAGCTGCTGCTTGGCCGCCCACACCGCCGCCCCCGGGTCGAAACGCAGGCACTTCTGGGGGGGAATCCCAAAAAAAAACCGGGGTTCAGGGTGGGGGAATCCCGAAAATTCAATCCCGGGAATTTTGGGGTGAGGGGAAGCGAAAAAATCCCCGTGTTTGAGGGTGGATGAATGAGGAAATGGCCATAAATTGATTTAAAATGACCCAAAATGACCCTGGAATGATGTAAAAAATGGGAATCCCAAAGATTTTGGGGAGTTCAGGATGGGAGAACCCCAAAAATTCAATCCTGGGAATTTTGGGATGAGGGAAACCCAAAAATCCCTGTGTTTGAGGGGGAATGGGTGAGGAAATGGCCCCAAATTGACTCAAAATGACCCAAAATGTCCCGGGGATGAGCCCAAAAATGGGAATCCCAAAGATTTTGGGGAGTTCAGGGTGGGGGAACCCCAAAAATTCAATGCTGGGAATTTTGGGATGAGGGAAACCCAAAAAATCCCCAAAGTTGAGGATGAATGGGTGAGGAAATGGCCCCAAATTGACTCAAAATGACCCAAAATTGACTCAAAATGACCCAAAATGATGCTGGGATGATGTAAAAAATGGGAATCCCAAAGATTTTTGGGGTTTGGGACAGGGGAATCCCAAAAATTCATTGCTGGGAATTTTGGGATGAGGGAAATCCCAAATATCCCAAGGTTGAGGATGAATGGGTGAGGAAATGGCCCCAAATTGACTCAAAATGACCCAAAATGATGCTGGGATGATGCGAAAAATGGGAATCCCAAAGATTTTGGGGAGTTCAGGGTGGGGGAACCCCAAAAATTCAATGCTGGGAATTTTGGGATGAGGGAAACCCAAAAATCCCCAAAGTTGAGGATGAATGGGTGAGGAAATGACCCCAAATTGACTCAAAATGACTCAAAATTGACTCAAAATGACCCTGGGATGATGTAAAAAATGGGAATCCCAAAGATTTTTGGGGTTTGGGACAGGGGAATCCCAAAAATTCAATGCTGGGAATTTTGGGATGAGGGAATCCCAAAAGTTCCCAGATTCAAGGGTGAATGGGTGAGGAAATGGCCCCAAATTGACTCAAAATGACCCAAAATTGACTCAAAATGACTCTGGGATGATGCAAAAAATGGGAATCCCAAAGGTTTTTGGGGTTTGGGACAGGGGAACCCCAAAAATTCAATGCTGGGAATTTTGGGGTGAGGAAAACCCAAAAATCCCCAGGTTTGGGGTGTTTGGTGTGAGAAAATCGCCCCAAATCTTCCCAAAATGACCCCAAAAAACCCCTGGGAATTTTTTGGAATTTTTTCCCAATTTTTTTTCCTTTTTCCTCCCGATTTTTTTGGGTGGAAAATCCCAAATCCTTTGAGACCATTTCCCCGATTTTTTTCCAACATTCCCCAATTTTTTTTTTGAATTTTCTCCCAATTTTTTTCCTTTTTCTCCCCTATTTTTTTGGGTGGAAAATCCCAAATTTTTTGAAGCCTTTCTCCCAGTTTTTTAGGATTTTTCCCTCCATTTCTTCAGTCCCCCCAAATTTTTTTTCAAAGATATTCCAAATTTTTTTAGGGGAATATTCCTGATCTTTCCCCAAATTTTTTCCAATATTTCCTAATTTTTTTTTAAATTTTCTCCCAATTTTTTTCCTTTTTTCCCCCAATTTTATTGTGGTTTTTGGGGAGAATTTCCCAATTTTTTGGGGAGAATTTTTCAATTTTTTGGGGAGAATTTCCCGATTTTTTGGGGTAAATTTCCCGATTTTTTCAATTTTTTGGGGAGAATTTCCCGATTTTTTGGGGTAAATTTCCCGATTTTTTGGGGTAAATTTCCCAATTTTTTAAGAGAAATTCCTGATTTTTTTGGTGGAAAATTCCAAATTTTTTGAAGCCATTTCCCCAAATTTTTTCCAACACTTCCCAATTTTTTTTGGAATTTTCCGCCATTTTTTTTCCTTTTTCCCACCCAATTTTTTTTGGTTTTTTGGGGGGGAATTTCCCGATTTTTTTGGGGAGAATTTCCGGAATTTTTGGGTGGAATTTCCCTATTTTTTGGGGGGGAATTTCCTGATTTTTTAGGTGGAAAATCCCAAATTTTTTCCATCAGTCCTTAATTATTTTTGGGAATTTCCTCCCAATTTTTTTCCTTTTTCCCCCCAATTTTATTTTGGTTTTTGGGGTGAATTTCCCAATTTTTTGGGCCAGAATTTCCCAATTTTTTGAGAGAAATTCCTGATTTTTTGGGGGGGAATTTCCCAAATTTTGGGGGAGAATTTCCCAATTTTTTGAGAGAATTTCCCGAATTTTGGGGTAAACTTCCCGATTTTTTAGGTGGAAAATCCCAAATTTTTTCCAACACTCCCCAATTTTTTTTTGAATTTTCTCCTAATTTTTTTCCTTTTTCCCCCCAATTTTAATTTTGTTTTGGGGGGGAATTTCCCGATTTTTTGGGGGGAATTTCCCAAATTTTTGGGGTAAATTTCCCAATTTTTTAAGAGAAATTCCTGATTTTTTGGGGGGAATTTCCCAAATTTTTGGGGCCAGAATTTCCCAAATTTTTGGGGGTGAATTTCCCGTATTTTTGGGGTGAAATTCCTGATTTTTTGGGGGTGCCTTTCTCTATTTTTTAGGGTAAATTTCCCGATTTTTTGGGGAGAATTTCCCGTATTTTTGGGGAGAATTTCCCAATTTTTGGGGGTGCCTTTCCCGATTTTTTGGGGAGAATTTCCCAATTTTTTGGGGAGAATTTCTCAATTTTTTGAGGAGAATTTCCTGATTTTTTGGGGAGAATTTCCCAATTTTTTGGGGAGAATTTCCCAATTTTTTGGGGAGAATTTCCGGAATTTTTGGGGAGAATTTCCCGCTTTTTTGGGGAGAATTTCCCAATTTTTTGGGGAAAATTTCCCAATTTTTTGGGGAGAATTTCCCAATTTTTTGGGGAGAATTTCCCAATTTTTTGGGGTAAATTTCACAATTTTTTTAAGAGAATTTCCCAATTTTTTGGGGTGACTTTCCCGCTTTTTTGGGGAGAATTTCCCAAATTTTGGGGGGAAATTTCCCAATTTTTTTAAGAGAAATTCTTGATTTTTTGGGGGTGCCTTTCCCGATTTTTTTGGGAAGAATTTCCCACTTTTTTGGGGAGAATTTCCCAATTTTTTGGGAAGAATTTCCCAATTTTTTGGGGAGAATTTCCCAATTTTTTTGGGAGAATTTCCCAAATTTTTGGGGTAAATTTCCTGATTTTTTAAGAAAAATTCCTGATTTTTTGGGGGGGAATTTCCTAAATTTTCGGGGTGAATTTCCCGATTTTTTGGGAAAAATTCCCCGATTTTTTGGGGTTAATTCCCCGATTTTTTGGGGTGGAATTCCCCATTTTTTTAGGGTGAAATCCGGCGTTTTTCTTGCTGTTCCCTCACCGTCTGGTGCAGGTCGGGGATGCCGATGCGGAAAACCATCATGCTGAAATGGGCGTCGTCGGGGGCCGGGGGGGGTCT